AGGGAAATCTAACCGAAATCTATGTCTGATCATTAAGTAGTGAGCAGTAACAAAACAAAGGAGACCTTATTGGGAAGTAGTCTAAATCACTATTAATGCAGTCGTCACTAAAATAGTTGTTATTTTTATTATAGCCTATAAAAAACAGTCATAAAAAGCTATATTCTAATGGATCATATTCTCATCTTTTTAATTTCATTTTATTGCCTCATGCACGTCCCCAAGAACACAAAAACAGATGTCTGCAACTAATAGCAGTTGTCAGCATACAAAATAGCATATGTTCATTATCAAATCAGAAGCCAGAGCTAATTAAAAGTGTCAAAAAGGACATTTTTCAGGCCGCTGCAAACGACCCATGAACTCGAGTTTTTAGCATGCACAGCAGAAGCTGATTTAAGGAGAACGAGACAGAGTGACATCATCAATGTCAGCCCTTTAAACCAATCTGTGTTATTTGGACCCACATTTTGTAAAGGACATTATCAGTGGTAAGGATTTAATAATTGTGAAAAGTTGTGTGGATGAAGAATTTAGGCTGCAAGTACAGATTCATCAATTTATTTCAAAATTACTTTTTAAATGAATCTTTTTAAACTAAAGGTGAAAACTTCATGTATTTCATTTTTAACTTATTAACCAAAGAATATTTTACATTTTGCTTAAATGATTAACTTCCTAAATAATCCATCGTCAGAACTACAAAGAAATGAAATAATGATTATTCCCTCCAGCTGTAACATGCATGAGAGCAAGCATCACTGATACATCAAATGCTTTCATCTTTTTCAGGCTTTTAAAATCAGCAAGCCTGCTGTGACTGTAAATAAAACAAAAGATCATCGGCACCGGGTTTTTAAAAAAAAAAGAAAATCTATTCATATTGTTGTCCTGAACACATTCCCGGTGCAGTCCTCGAACACTGCGGAGATGCAGGGGTTAATGCTTTGTCACAGAGAACTGGACGCATTCAGACTGTGACCTTTCAGTGAAAAGCCCAAATGTTTCAGGCCCTTCAGTTTGACTGCACTGATGTATTGATCAGACTGTAACAGCCATCTGGATCTTGCCTTCCTCTATTGAACGATGCCTGTGGTCTGGTTAGACTCTGAACAGAGTTCGTGTGACCCCAGCGGCTTAAGAAGCTAAGAATTGATTGGTTAAATGGATTTATAGATTTGCAGATATTTGGCATTTTCTCAGTGTGAAACGTTTCATGGAAACTGTACTCGCGTGACATTTATATCACACACTGTGATGTGCATAAACTCATATATTATGCATGATAAACTTGTTATTGTGTATCACAAGAAGGAGTGTATTGATTAATGTTTGCCTGCATTGACATTTCCTCTTCCTGGAGGTGGATGCTATTCTTGCTTACACATAGCGCACAATATACAAATATGCAATATACAAATGATTTAAATGCTATTTCATAGACCGGCAGAATCCATATGTTTAATATGTGTTGTTTGGACACATAATACACACTATAAAAACACAGTGATATTGCAGATAATTGAATTATGCTGCAGGAGCAGTTTTAAAAGTTTCTATTGAAGTTATAGTAATCTGCTGTTACCTTGAGTCTGCACACTGACTCTGTGTTCTTGTAATTGCTATGAACTCAACCTGATTAAAGCTTTATTACTCTGCAAAGGAGCTCTTTGTAAACTTTAATTACCTTTCAAACATACCGAGGATGAACATTTGAAAGTAGTCTTTAAAAAAAAGTGAAGAAATTAAATGTTTTGTGCCAACAAAAGACATCCAGACATTGCAGAACATTTTGATGGGACCCATAACTCTTAGGATTTCGGTGATGAAGCACTCCTAATGAGACACTTCTCCATTACTGACTTTAAACAATAAAAATGTCAAAAATAGCATTAATATAAACTCGGTAACACGGGAAATCTACCTTTGGTGCCGTTGTTGGCGGGCTCTGTGAGCAGGCGCTCGCCGTGATTGGAGCGCTTGAATCGCCGCTGGATGCGGCCACGGAGACGGACGTTGTCCTCGCTTTCCGAAGAAGGAATGGAGAGACTGCGCTCTTCCTCCATAGAGAGATCCGAGTCTGAGTCGGAATCTTCACCTGGATAAAGAAAGGGAGAAGGGACGATAAAGCGGGAGTGAGAAAGTGAGGAAAAGGATAGGGCTGATGTGTTGGTATTCTTGAGTAAATGTTCTTGATCCTTAGTTAAATATGGGCAGAGATAAAGTCTTTGTTTTTCAGAGATTCATGTCTGCTCATTATGCATATTCACCCCCGTCTCTGTGGAACATGGCTACATCCAGGTCGGTTGCACCAGTGTGGACGATGTTTTGCTCCAGAGTCTGACGAGCCAAAAGGTTTTCTCTAACAGGGGAGTAGAAGAGAAGTTAGGTGAACACACACAAACAATAGAAGCACACAGAAACAGGCAGATACATATTTGAAAAAAAGCGAGAGTCCTTTCAAACACAAATACTCGTGTGCACTCTTCATACAGGCCAAGACATGGTATTAAGACAGACAGTCACTGAGCCATGAAGACATTAACAGCCACTCTCAGGGTACATTAGTGTTGCTCTACATGCAGTACAGTACATTGTTCAGTCTAATCTTCTTCATCTTTATCCCACTGACCCACAAAATGAAAAACAGGGTTATATGCAGGGAGGGAATTTCCTCCCTAAGGCAACTTTATCCAAAAACCACAGACCCAACAAACCCACCAGAATCCCATCTGAATGATAGACTATCCTTGTTTCTCAAGCATCAATTTATTTTTGTTATATTTTATGACATTAAACCACCACGATGTGCACATCTACCTTAATATATTGGTAAAAACTGTGACACGTGTCCATTCATGCGTGCATGCGTTCAGATACCTGGCAGAGCTGACGGAGGAGATTGTGGAGGTTCCCAGTGTGATGCGGTGCAGCCCGCTCTGCTCCAACAGTGAAGCGTTGTGATAGGGGTTCTGTGCCTGAGCACACAAAAACACACGCAAGAAGCTTTAGAAAATAGCTCCCAGCTTTCAACCTGTGTCCAGGAGGCTAGGCATGTGGAACATAAGACTCTGAGATGTGACAAGACTTCTGTTATCTGTTGATAAATCACAAAAGGACGCTAATACGGGTCATCCATACATATAATTCGTCAGTGCTAAAAACAGCATAGTGCACATAATAATAGTCTTGAATTTTGCCCATATGACTCAGTAATAGAGAGGAAGAGCTTTGGAGTAAATGGGGTTTAAAAGGGTGGAAACAACACATCTCATACGCGCACACACGTAAACTTCCCCCACACATACACACCAACATCTCAGGCACACAAACTGGCAACAAACTGTATGGGGTTCACTGCACTGACAGAGATTCAAAGGAAATATGGAACATGTATACATATACAAAGTTCAAACACACATAAGCAATAGTAAAGATTCTGATGCTGACGGCTGAGAATTTATACACACACAAGCACACACACACACACATACACACACACACGAGACATGGGAAGTAAGGAAAGATGTGAAAGTAGGATAGCATTTCATACACGCGCATAAAAGCATCATTAAATCGGCACTGCACAGTGCTTTTGCGAAAGCGGGCTAAAGAGCAGGCAGGGATCCACTGGCTGGTATAATGTTTTATGTGGGTCAGCTAGGAACCCCGAGGGCAGCTGGAGAGGACAGAGACACGACAGGAAAGATTGATGGAAGGATAGAGGGAAGGAGAAATTCAGGGCAGGAGGGCTATTGTGCTGTCTAGTAATGGGCACAGCAGCAGGAGAAAACTTAGTAAATGGCTTTAAGGATCACGCAGCTAGGACATTTATGCCTTCGCATTATGATCTTAGATTCACTTAGCTTGTCATCACTGTGCAATAATAATTATAATAATCTTTTGGATACCATAGTTCTTTTAAATGATAACAATTAGTTTTCATCTTCATTTTGATATACTTTTGTGCATGCATTCTGCTAATGCAGTATATTAATGATTCAACAGTCAGGCTAATTCAAGAAACAAATGAAAAAAGGTGTTTCGCTTTAGCGGTAGCAGTATAGATATGCTCGCAAACTGGATATTTATGTATGTTGGACTTACTGTGCTCTGCGGTGGTCTTGGGGGATCTTCTCCAGGACTCTTTTTACCCAAACAGGCGACTCTCCATGCCTCCTGAACTTCTGAGTTGAACACGGTGAAGACTAGCATCACTGACAGACCCTGGGAAAGATGATAAAGAGATATAAAATAAAAATGACAAAAACAAAAACACACAGACTGACAAACAAGATTCAAAAGCTACAGGTAGAGATCGCACTTTGTTGTGTATCGGATCATGCTTTGTTCGCACCTGTACTAGGCAGAGGACATCAAATATGTAGTAGAAAGCCAGTATGCTGTTATTTACAGCCATCAGACCACACAGCCAGGTGGAGGTGGCCACCAGCAACAGCAAGAAGGCATTACAGATAGTGGCGCTGCAGAGAGGCAGACAGAAGCAAAGAGGGCAGTGGAGGAGAAAAAAAGATTAGAATTGGATTCGCCAGAATGAATCTGTGATACACTCTGATGCATACGCCAGTTGACTGCAGCATTATATCACACTAAACCTTTATTTATAACACAATAATGATGTTTTCACTATATGTCATCATGATTAGGGTAACAGAGAAATATAGAGACAGCAAAGAGAAACCACACTAATGGACGACAGTAGAAGCACTGGAGGGACTACAGAGCGATTCTTATCATACAGCTCAAATCTGAAAGACTACTTTAGAGAAACTCGGGACTTTTATTAAGGACCCTTTGAAGCCTGAAACAGCACAAAACACAAGAAAAGGATTGTACTTTGGAAAGTAGGCTTCAAGGTCACTTTTTTAAAGTGAGAATAGTGTCAAGGCAGACACTTACATGACAGGAAGTTTCTTGGTCTCTTTCTGAGATGGGTTACACGACATCTTGGCTACAATGGTGAAAATGCCCCCATTCAACTGAAAAGTGAAAGATCAATACACAAAACATTTAAATGCATTTCAGCTAATCCACTACGGCCATTAGCAACGACTAGGACAAAATCAATGTGGATAAATTAGTCACATAGGAGGGAAAAGATACGTTTAATAAAAGCAAAGCCATTTAAGTCTCTGACAGTATAAAAAAGTAAAAGAAAAAAAAAGAAAAAGTGGATTCACAGGTGTGACTGTAATACGCTGTAATCATTCACTTTAAAGCACTGCATCAAATGTCTTGAAGTGAAGTTTCGAAAGGCCTGAATGAAATGATTGGGCTCAAGTGGGTCGCCTTTCTAAAATCCATTTGGAGGACTGCCACTTGTGAATGTTAATTAGGTTTAAACCTATGTTTACTTGAGAAAGTGCAGGTTGAGATTTCATTCATATCATTTAAGTCTGTGTGCACGTAGAGTTCACTGCCATGTGTCAGACAAACAGAGAGATGTTTACCAGTATGACGATGCCGATGGGACCAGCGAAGCTCCAGATTAGTTTGTCATAGATGGATATCCAACAGAAGTCTGGGTTTCCATAACCCTCTGGGTCCAAACCTACCGCCAGGCCTAAAGCAAACAGATGTGCGGTGAGATTAGACAGATCAGCTCTGTGATGTCCTCTGCTGTCACTCACAGAGAGACAGCAGTCTCAAAGATAGGGAAACAGTATAGGCAGTGACTGCAGGCCATTATTGGAACACCACAACACTTCTATGAATTTTAGGTATGTTTTTAGCTTTTATTAAATGAATATTTTTAGATTTATAAATCAAGGGCTTAGAGAAAATTAGCTCCTGAAAGCACTCTCTAAATATTTGATTACATCTTTGGATCTTTAGATTTTAAATGTTAAATTCTGCTGAACTTTGAGCACTAAGCTGCTACGATTAAACGGCAAAGACACAAACCATCATTTCTCTTTTTAATTTAACTTCGTATGACCTATATGACACATTATTCCAAATCAGAGCAGAAATGTTTCACCCCCTGATTTTCAGCTTCTGGTTGAATCATGTGAATCAAGTTCACGAACAAAAATTCACTGACTGTCAGAGTCGGGAGAAGATCAGGCTGTAAGCTAACGGTGCTCATGGTCAGGTCGGGAGTGCATCATAGGTGATCTGCATGATAACGGCAGTATGTGGCAGCAGGAGGGATATGTGATAGTCTGACTTGTCTTTTTCTTTACGTTGAGCGGGGATACACAAAAACGCTTTCACCTTTAGTTTCTTTCGTGTGCGCATGCACTTACAGCACTGATTCAGTGTAGAACCTGAGGCACCAGTGCTCCATATAAGCACCAGATGTGGTTAGTAGGAAATTTGTGACTTGAACTGTGATATCTTTATCAGTCATGTATCCTTGTTTGGACGAAACTGTCGATGTTTTGACAGGCGTGGCTATAAAGAATATTTAGAAATAAATTGCAAAAGAAAAGACAGAAGAAGCCTGAACAAAGACAGATAAACACACCTCACAGCCCAGAGGAAGAGACATGTGCTAAAGTGTGTTTATGATGGTGGGA